AAATTCATTACAGTCAACCCTCATATAATGCACTTGATTAGTGCAACAGATAAATACTCAAGGTAAAAAGTATTTGGGAACAATTTTATTTTTCCTACACACTAAAATGTCAAGCATTTCAATTTGCAACATTAATTTTCAAGCAACTGAAGTGCATTGAACAGATTTGGTATATCAGACAGAATGAAAAACAGCCTCTAAAGGTGGTAAATTAGACAGGAGTACATTAGCTGGGAGGTACATTCGACAGGGGTTGAGTTGGCTGTATATAATAATAACCCTACTGCATAATCAAGAAGATGCTAATTTTGTGCTTCTTTTTCTCAGTTTTTTTCCATCATGGGTGCTCAGTACAGACAGACTTGTTCATATCCTTTGCTTCTTGAGCTCCTCCTGTTGCCAAAAGATCAGATTCTGTGTGGCTTTCCTCTGCACATTTATTTTCAGTAATTCCAAAGTAAAAAAAAAATTAATCAATTTTTTGGGGACTTTTTTTTTGCTAATCATCTTCCAAAGAACCAATTAAAAATATTCCCATCGAAATTTATTGTAGTGTACGGCCCAACATGTGGACATCCTTACTCATGAACAAGGTTCTTACATGAATTCTCTCTGCATCTTGGGGTCCCACTGTATGGAATGCATTTCCTCAAGAAGAGGACTCCAAAAAAAAAGTCAAACCAACAGCTCCAGGGATATAAAACCAAGTGACAACCTAATATTCTGGGGCAGATGATGAGAATCGGAAAAGGATAGGAATTCACGCAAACCTCTCGCTATCTGGTGACAACCACTCATAAAAGATGGACCACTTTCCTCAGTTTTGAAAAGCGGGGGTTGACTGGAAGTCAACCGAGAGTCGTATAGAAAACACATACACACAGTTGAATCAAACAAAGTCTCTGGTATAGAAGCAACAGCGAATAACACACATTCAACGTACCACGTTAACACAGAAAGAAAAAGAACATGCAGAGAAAGGGATATTCGTCCGCGGAAAAACCATCACTGCACTCATCACACTCTCTCCCTCTGGCGTTTTTCCAGCCTCTCCTGCACACACCTCGAATGCGTGCAAGGTTCCATGACAAAGTGCGCAATCTTCCCACACTTGTTACACTGCTGCACAGACGGTCTCGTGGCGGACACAAAATGCTGGAGCTCGGAACACGACCGGCATCTGCTGCACCAGCAGCCCACCACACAACCATTCGCGTCCAACACTTCTTCGCCGCCACGGCGCTGTTGCTCCGTCATCTCCTTCATGTCTTCCCTCTTCTTCACGTGACACTTGATCCCGAATTTGCACTTCATCCGTTTCACGATTCCCGGGCGTTGGCACGACGTGCAAATTGTGTAGCCGTCGGCCGTCGCATGCGGCAACCGTCGGTGACAGTTCTTATTGCACACGTTGCAACGGCCAAACCAGCACAACATCAATTCCTCGGGCTTCCCGCGACGCCAATTATTATTGGCCACTCCTGACGGGTCATTGGGTCTCGGCAACACTAGTTCCTCCAACAGTCTTCCAGGGGCACCCGGCGCGGTTCGAGAATGATGAGGGACGCCGTTTGTGGCAGCCGGCGGCGGCGCCACAACTGGTGTCGACAACAAAGTCTTTGGTTTCAATCGGTAGTATTTCACGAGAAGATCACGAACACGACGCAGGGCTTCAACTTTCTCCGGCTGGGTTGCATTCGGACGCAGTTGGCACCGGTTGGACACCTCTTTCATGTATTCCGTTTGTTTCGATAGATTCTAGATAGGAGATATACACACAAAGTCAATAAATACAGTGACGACCCAACATGAAGACAATTTGACTCAGGGACACAAAGAAAAGAAAAATATCTACCCCCAACGTCCAGACAGTGAATCAAAATTTGAAAACTTCTCCAAGAATTTCTCTACATTTTTGGATTCATTGAAGAATTTAAGTGACTGCATTTACTGAAGTACCTGCGCAACTTTTTTCTCAAATTTCAAAAGGAAAAATGGGACTACATCATAAGTGGTTATAAATTTTTCAAGGGGTTTCAGAAATTTATGTGTGCATTATATATGATTCTTATGAGAAATTTTGAAAGAAGTTCAACAGAAAAGCTCATTTTAATTGAAAACATTGAAAATTGGTCAAACTCATGTCTAAATTTGAATTTGACTGTTCTTATTCTGAAATTTTGTGGTTTTTATATTAAATGAAAATTATTACCCTTTACTTGGGGATGGGATTCCATCAAAATTTCCATTGAAAAAGAATTAGAATTATGCTGGGTCAAATTATCCAGTGAGGTTATTCAAGACATACAAGAGGTTAGTCACAATACAAGTGGTGCCCACAATTTGACCCTAATCTATCAGTGCTGGGATAAGGTCAAATTGTGAAGGAATCAAATTTCAAGACAACATTTCATGCAATGTTTTCTAAATTGAATTTGACATTCTGTGTCTCTTTGCTAATTAAATTTTGGTGCATAGGTCAAATTGCAAGTCAGCTTCCCAGCAAATTTGAGCACTGAATTGCAAGGTATCACCTGCATTTAGCTGAAAGGTATGACTTGTGTTTGACCAAAAAAAATTGACTGATAGCAAAATCACATTCTGTTCCTTGAAAATCAGGCAAGGTTAGCTAAGGTGCATCAGTTCTACACTACCCAAGTGAAAATGTAAGGCCTCCAGATCCAATATGGGTGGCACCTTACAATTTGACCATCCCTCAATTCAATGGCCAAATTTGCCGCAAGGTTGACTTGCAATTTTACCCTTGCCCTGCAATTCCACCTGCTGTCTCCTTTTTTTGCATCTTTGTACTTATATTTTGAATATGACGGAGTGTCTTGCAATTCAAACAATTTGCAATTTGACCCTAGTTTGGCAACGGATTAGGGACAAATTGCGAAGTACCACCTATACCATCATGAAACTCACCTCAGGTAAGGTCAGACGTTTCTTCAATTCCAGGAACTGAAACAGAAAAGTAAACATAAATACAGGAAAAAAAANTGCTCCTTGGAAAACCTCAGTTTCCCCACTTCGAGCAGAAGGCTGATTTTTTGCAGATATTCGCGAGTCGTTACCCTCCTCAGTACACTTTCGGCAGCTTCCAAACCATCCACGCTTTCTTCGAACAGAGCAACAACCGAGTCGTATTCGGGGAGAATATTCTTGTCCACGTTGACCATCATCCCCAGGGACTTCAAGAAGAGGTTGACAAATGACGTGGGAATAGATTTTGGCCTCGGTTGAACAGTGATCACAACTCCTGCAAAAACATTCCTCTCATCAGTCAGATCCAAGTTCGCGCTTTGAAACTATAAAATTCACTCAGATAAAACATAGATGTGACTGAAGTCACATTTTGGTGCTGTTGTGGCAGATAATATACCAGCCTTTTGCTATACAGTGGACCATTGGTTAACAAAATTTACATTTCCTGGAGAAATCCGTTCAGTCAACAAACTTTTATTCTAGGAAAAAATCCTAAATTTGCAAAATAAAATTTGATTTCAAGGCTGGAATTTTTGGTACTATCCAAGTGCAAATCATTCAAGTATATGCACCAATATGAAAATTCTTACTTTCTGGCAATTGATATGTGCAATCTTGGGATTTAAAATTTGCTTCAGCTACATTTATCATATATGCTTTTCCAAAGCAGAATTATTTACTTTCCTGTGCTTGGCTTTTCTAATTGTTCAATTGTTAGATAGGTATATTTTATCTTAACTTACAGCATTAAAACAAATTCATTTTCACCCGTCACCTATCCAACAGTGTTTCTGAGGATGTGAAGATTTTTTTCACAAGTGCTACTTCCATTTAATACTGTAAAAACATTCTGAACTCACATGAGATGCAGCAAAAACTTTATTCTGATTATTGTTGACAGTCTTGAATTTTTTAGTCCATGTTCAAATGTCCTTTGGGTTCACAGAATGGATTAAATTCTTC